ATTAGCTAACCAGTTATATTCTGCACTACTCCATATTAGCTAACCAGTGCTTTTCAATTCATTTCACTAAACTTCATGCACACTCTCATTTAACTGAAAACAAAACAGTGCGCATGTGCCTTCATATTCAAAAAAATTTGACTTTGCCTCCCTATAATTATTCAGTCTTTGATTCAGACAAAACAAGGGCAGCTTCACTAACTCGAAATATCTCAGTGGATCAACATAGAATTAGAGGGATATATCAATCGTATTCATTCGCTTTATCTTATTTTTTCGTCCACAAATATTCCTGTCAGAATAGCCCAAATGGTTGTCGATCGATCCTCCTTACATCGCAAAACATGAAACTAGTTATTTGTCTTCGCTTTTTTACCTATTTTTTTGCCAAATTCCTCGTCAGTATCTTCCTCTAATTGTATGGCGTTCATTACCACCAACCAGCAACAATTCGATTCGTTCTCACTTCACTCAAGTGATTCGTTCGCATAATCATTCACAAAGTCATCGATTCATTTCGTTCCACAATAATCATCCTCATCTTTATAGATATTTGCCGTTCTGGTCAGATAATTTCAGTCATTACAAATTATTGTTTGCTAATGGTACTAAATATTGTTAATTTGAGACCTATCAAAGCATTCATCCATCAACGGCAATTTGACTCTTATTTCTTAAATTTAACAAGGCAGCTGGCTCATGACTGGCTTGCAGGAGATCCATTCATTCATTCGTGAGATTTGTGTGTGTTTGTGTGCGTATAAGATGAGAAATGTGTTTTTTGCTCATGCTTATAGTAGGTACGTCCCGGTCGTAATACAACATTAACGATGGACGACAACACATTCAATCACCAAGTTTTATTGCTGATTTTCTGTCAGAAATATCACAGGAAACAATTATTGAACACTGTGTTTTTATGAATACAAATTTCTCGTTTTTGAGACAATATTGAAAATTTCACTGTAATTAATTCACATACCTATAATATTATCACAAAATGCTCTTGAAATGTCATTCATTAATTCTCGTGTTCATTTGTTGGTGTTCATTTCTTTATGTGATTCGATTCGCACACCACAAACATTCTCATTCCATCAGAATAGCATTCGAAAACATTTTTATAATGTCCGCCGAACCCAATCGCACGTTCGAGCGTGTTCAATATGCTACATGTTCACATATAGATCTAAAGTATTGCAATGTCTATCCGTCACTAATCGTTTTCCTTGGAAAACGATAAGAACAATATCTCTGNTGACTGCTGCACTTACTTACATGGTTCATGTTTATCCTCTCAACAGTTGAAATACTCTCCTATATCAAAGACAGAGTGTTCAGTAAAAAAATTCAGAATTTCTAAAACATTTCAAGCACTTATCTCCTAATCTCGTAATCCCAGCTGAACTGTACTTGATTCCTCTTACTGATCAATTGTTGATCATTAAGGTCGTTCTGGATTCTTCACATGAACCTATGAATAATTCATATGAAAGCGCTACCTTGTGCTGGCATTAATATAGTCACATCCAGTCGTTCTCATGAATTGTTCAGAGGAGAATAAAATTGTTCAAATTCAGATTTCTGGATAAGTGACATAGCGAAACGACAGTCAAAACGAGAGCGACGAGATCTATCGTCGACACGTCCTATGCCAAAAATTTCGCCAACGACCGTCGATTCCACCAAATTGCCCATTGTTGATCATAAGCGGGCAACGAACGACCTATACTTTGACGATTCGATGGATTCTGAGAAGTCAACCGCAGCACCCGTATCCTACCACCATCGCCATCAACAGCAACAGCAGCATCTCAATCGTCACCAGTATCAACTGCGTGATGATGACTGCCTGCCGAATACGTCAACCGACGTCAGCTCATCGAAGCATTTGATAGCTTCCGAACGAGGTATATCCGCCTGTCGTTCACTTACCGATAAAATGTCATCGACAAATCCACTGTTCTATTTCCAGTCCTCATTCAAATCCTCTATTTTCAGTCCTCAAATCTTTTCGGATAGTGATTTGAATGATTGTTTTGCGCCATATGTATTATAG